TGTGTGTGCTTTCCAAATGAGTGCCAGTAAACGTGATGAAATTGCTCTCGCCACTGTCTGTTAAATAAGAAACAATTTGTTAAATGTATTACAGTAATACACTCTAGGTCAGGTCCTTGGAGGCAGATTAATCCCAGCATCAGATTAAAATGAACAAACCTGATTTATGAATGGAATTTTACCTGCACAAAAGGCTTTTAGTGCAAGAGTACAATTAATACGTTAGCCTTAATGCAGGGCTACACAAACACAAACTGACTCTCAGTTTCATTTTCACATCCCTGTGCAGTTTGTCAAGTGTGGTTTTGCCGGCTCCAACTTCCCAAAGCACATCTTCCCAGCCCTGGTGGGCCGGCCAATCATACGATCATCGGCCAGAGTGGGCAACATCGAGATAAAGGTAAGATTGATGTAAATGAAAGGACTACACATGGGTCTTTCAGTTCACCTAAAGTCAGAATAGAGGAGCATTAAAAAAAGAAATGGGGAAATTACATCTACTGTGTGCAGAGTTCTATTAACAGCAAACAGCATTAAAACCACTGACAGGTGAGTCATCCTGTTACAGTTTAGTGCTCTATTGAGAAACCTGGTGTCGAAGCATTACAGCATTCCCAAGAAGGATAAGGGGCCCTGCAACACCACAAAAACTACTACTAAGAACATAATAAATAGCCAAGATGTAGACTACAAGCACAATGGTCCCACCCAGTAACCCACAGGACTCTCAAGGTCCACGTCTAGAAAAGTCAGAGCTGTTCTGGCAGCAATACAGGGACCTGCACTATATTACTCAGGTGGTTTTAATGTTCGAGATGGCACAGTGGTGTCTGGAGCCTCTGAATGTGGAGTGTGTGTTACCCCGGTGCCAGATTGGTGGCATGTCCAGGGTGTACCCTGTGTCCCACCATGTGACAACTAAGATAGGCTCCAGCGACCTTTGACTGGATAAATGAAAGAAATTGGATGGTTTTAATGCTGCAGCTGATTGGTGTAGCCATCTATAAGATCTAGATACACATCCTGAGACTTGATCATCTGTATCTCTGGTTCTCATCAACTTCCTGTGTCTCAGCTTAAAGCGTCTTAGAAGTGCACCTCTGCTAGCTTCCTAAGATGCTGAGACTGTTGAGTTCATAGACTCATGTAACCTGAGATCATTCAGACCTTTTAACCTGATAATCCTTGCAGGATCGGAGCAGAGAAAGCATGAAAAGGTCATTGGTACAAATAAATAAGTAAACAAATTAAGGCAGGCTGTTATGTAATAAACATCACATTTTCATAGATTTTTTATTTAGTGTTCACTTGAAACACCAGGTTTCCCAGGATAGCTGTCTTATATTTGTACTTGTGTATGGATGTGCATGTTTGTAACTTAATATTTTATACAGTATATTTAAAACGTTTCAACAGAAACAACAAAAATCAAACTGATGCTTTTTTTAATTATTATTTATTAAACCTATACTTTGCTGTAGGTCAGACAAGGAAGAGCAAAAACAAAACCATTAATATTTCCTGTCCCTGTCATCTTTTCCACCAGGACCTAATGGTGGGAGAAGAGGCCAGCGAGTGTCGCTCCATGCTGGAGATGTCCTACCCCATGGAGAATGGCATGGTGCGCTGCTGGGAGGACATGCTCCACCTGTGGGACTACACCTTTGGCCCAGAATGCCTGGACATCAACCCAAAAGAATGCAAGGTATGAACCCGTGTAAGACAGACAACGACGGAAATGAATGGGAAAAAAAACTGTACAAGGACTAGATTATTATTGAGTTTGTGTATGTTTTCTATCCAAGATCCTACTGACTGAGCCGCCCATGAACCCGACCAAAAACCGCGAGAAAATCGCTGAAATCATGTTTGAGAAGTACCAGTTCTACGGCATCTACGTGGCCATCCAGGCCGTGCTCACTCTGTACGCTCAGGGTAAGAGGGCGCGAAACGCTGCACAAAAATAAAGGGTTTAAATCCTGATCTGCTGTTAACGGTGCAATTGACTGGATATTTAGTTAGTTTTAACTCCCGCTTTGTTAAATGACTCTGTCCACAGGTTTGCTTACCGGTGTTGTAGTTGACTCAGGAGACGGCGTCACCCACATCTGTCCAGTGTACGAGGGCTTCTCTTTGCCCCACCTTACACGCAGGCTGGACATCGCAGGACGTGATGTCACACGCTACCTCATTAAGGTGAGCTGGAAAGATCAGTGATCGGGCAAAGAGTTGGGTTTTTTTTAGTGTAAGGAAAGTATATGTACAGTTTCACAGCAAACATATGTATGAAAAAATGTTCTTCCCATCAGCTCCTGCTGCTTCGCGGCTACGCCTTCAACCACACTGCTGACTTTGAGACCGTGCGCATGCTGAAGGAGAAGCTCTGCTATGTGGCATACAACATTGAGCAAGAGCAGCATTTGGCCACAGAGACCACTTACCTGGTGGAGACATTCACGGTACGTTGGAGCAAGCTTTAATTTATTCTGCCTCCTAAAGTCGAGAAACGTCAGAAAAAATAACCGATTTCTCTCATTTGTGCAGCTTCCTGATGGCAGGCAGGTGAAGGTGGGCGGAGAACGATTCGGGGCTCCTGAAGCTCTTTTCCAGCCTCATCTCATCAACGTGGAGGGAGCTGGAGTAGCCGAGCTGCTGTTTAACACCATCCAGGCTGCAGACATTGACCTCAGGTCCAATCCTCCTCCCTCGCCTTTCTCTAATTAATGAAGCTGAACTACTGCAAACACGCCTTCATCAGGTCCGTCTCCCGTCTGCTTTCCCATGCAGGGCCGACTTCTATAAGCACATTGTTCTGTCCGGGGGGACCACCATGTACCCGGGCCTCCCATCCAGGCTTGAGAGAGAGATCAAGCAGCTCTACCTGGAAAGGGTGCTCAAGGGAGACACTGAGAAACTATCAGTAAGAGCTTTCATATTAATGTCAGTAGAGAATGGATTCGATTAAGAGCCTGTAAGGCGTTCTTCAGTGCATTTGCATAAATATAATGTTTCTGATGATCAGTGTCATCTGTATCATGAGCTGACGAAATGTTAATAGAATACATTTTCCAGTTATTTAATAAATGTCACCAGGCATTCATATAGATGCTCTGTTTTATTCACTGAACCTGAGGGCTACTTGCATGCAGGTTTTTCTACAGCAGGTCCAGTTTGGCTGTGATATAAACTTTCTGAATTTAAATATCTTTATGAGTTAAAAGTTTAGAAAAAGCTCAGTTTGAATTCCACATTTGACGCTCTGCAACATTTAAGGTTAAGGTTATCTCTTTTTCTTTGTATTAAAAATAGGTTTGGGCTATTTTATTACAGATACCAAAATGCATTTACTTTTTGTTGTTTTAAAGCCAAACCAATAAAGTGTGACATTTGTCATATTAATTAAATATATATCTAGAAATTGAAAGTTTATTTTGTTAACCTCATTACTGAGGTCGTTTCTCTTTTAGCACTTTTCTTTGTAGCAGCACAGAATATAAAAAAAGGCTTAAAGGAAAGAATTGTTGTACTTAAATATCAGGGCTCTGTGTTTTAATGACCTCTCCTGACTTTTCTCTTCACCCTTGCAGAAGTTCAAGATCCGAATCGAGGACCCTCCCAGGAGAAAGCACATGGTGTTCATGGGTGGTGCTGTGCTGGCCAACATCATGAAAGACAAAGAATCCTTCTGGATGACTAGACAAGAATACCAGGAGAAAGGCCTGGGAGTGCTGCAGAAGCTGGGAGGTGGAGTCAGATAAAATAAAACTGAGTTAAATAGAATTTTAAAAACACAAATTAAAAATGAGGAAAATATGAACTAGGTTTTGTACTTTTAAATATTAACTCCGTACCTCTCACAGTCTCATCTCTATTCAAAACAGTTTTAACTGAGCAAAATTACAACTTTTATCATTAAAAACACAATTGTAGGTTTTTACATACTGTTCTAAATATAACAGTTTTTTGATAAAACTTTGATGACTAAAGTTAAAAAATGTCAGGAATTTATTTGTTGCATTAATAGCAAGTTTATGTTTTATTTAACCTTTTTAAAACTCATAGATCTGTGCTTCAGTACTGTGCAAAAGTTTTGAGTCACCCCTCATTTTTTTTATATGTTACTGAAAAAATGGGAAATAGGTCCAGCAATGTATTGAAACATGTGCAAATGTATATAGAAACTCACTAAAGGAGGCCAAAACAAAGTATTACAGTTCTATAAGGCTTGAAAGTCAACATTTGGTGTGACCACCTTTGTTCTTCAGCACAGTCTGAACATGCCAGTCACATGCCTCCCTGAAAGGAAGTCTTTGAAAAACCTTTAGAAAGTCTGGAGAACTATTGTTGAAGACCATTTTTAAAAATACAGAAAAAAACTTAACATTTTATCTTAACTGAGTCTTAATTTATCCTTGTGCAATACTCACAAGGCTATTATAACACAAAAACATGAATATTTGGATAAAAATGACTTAAACGCAAAGCCAAAATGAAATGATTTTGTTAAACTCCATTACTAATTCCCTTTGTGACTCCACATTATGCCAACCAAACAGTAACCTGTTTGCTACTGTTTCTTAGAAATATTTGTCAGTAAAGTTTACTCTCTAAACTTGATTTAATCAAAAATAGATTACAGTCAATGATCTTCCTCAAACACAAAACTTACCCAGTTTTTACTTTGGCTAGCTTAGCATCTAATCACAGGGATCCTCTTTTCTTTACTCTGTTTATATGGTTGATGGTGTTAGCTTACTGTTATTATCAAAAGTTTAACTTTATTGGCTCATATAAATGATTAGTTTAGGTCTTTTGTGCTTTTTCCCCTGCACTTTAATCTTAGTTTTGGTTGATGTATATTATTATTATTATTAGTGGCAGCCTCCCCAGGGTTCCTGGTTGTTCCTCCCTTTGTGTTTCCTTACTCCTGACTTGTTCAGTGTGTATGCGGGTCTGTGTAGGTCTCTGGGGTTATTTTTATCTGTTTAACTTTGAATGTTAGTATAGCTTCCAGTCTGCCCTCCCCAAACCCCCGACTGTGACTGATTGTGTGTTACTCTCACCTGCATCTCGTTCCTCACCTGTCTGTCACTTCTCAGTGTATTTATAGTTTGGCCTTTGTTATAACACCTGTTTCCCGCCCTTTGGTGCTGCTCATTTTGCCTCGGTCCCAGTTTGATTCCTGATTTGTTGCTCCTCCCGTTCTGAGAGATTGAGAGATTCTTCTTATTATCTGTAAAAATAAATGTTTAATGGACTGGCAAATACAGGCTGAACATTTGAATGTTCTGAGTGGGAAAAAAAACTGTAAAGAATTTATCTGTGGGTTTGTTTGGTGTTTTTTTTTTTTTAAATAAATGTCAAATAGAATTGTTTTTTATTGTACATATTTCTTGCTGTATGCGATGAAAAATGATGCAAAATGTGACCTGTTACTTTTCTCATAGATATAAAATTGGGTACATACACTGACTTAACTGGGTACACCAGTTCAGCTGCTCATTGCTGCAAGTAACTAATCAGCCAATCAAATAGCAGCAAGCTAATGCATTCAGCTGTATAGACATGATGAAGACAACCTGCAAAACTTCAAACTGAGCATCAGAATGAGGAAGAAATGTGATTTAAGTGGCTTTGAATGTGTCATGGTTGTTGGTCTGAGTATTTCAGAAACTGGTGATTTATCAGGATTTTCCCACAAAAACATATCTGTGGTTTAAAGAGTACAGTCTGGAAAAAAAGGAAAATATCCAGTGAGTAGCAGATGTCTGCATAAAAATGTCTTGTTCAGGCCTGAAGTCAGAGAGGAATAGGCCAGATTGCTTAGTAAGTAAGTAAGTAAGGTATTCAGAAGCGCATCTCTGAATCCACAACACACTGGCCTTGGAAGCAGATGTGCTACATCAGCAGAAGGCCACACCGGGTGCCACTCCTGTCTGCTAAGAACATAAAAGTGAGGCTACAATTCAAACTGGACAACAGATGATGAGAAATGTGTTACCTAGTCTGATGTGTATCAAGCTCTGCTCTGACTTTTGGAAAGGAGGGTCAGAATTTGGAACAGACGTGGATTTATTAATGTTTCAGGCTCGAGGTGCATTAATGTGGGGGAACATTTTGTTGGCACACTTTGGGCCCCTTAGTACAAACTAAGCATCATTTAAACCCCACAGCCTGATGTTGACCATGTCCATCCCTTTTTGAACACAGTGCACCATCTCCTTATTGCTGCTACACACCATGTCCCAAAGCTCAGATGAAACCGGTTTCTTGAACATGACAATGGGTTCACTGAACTCAAATGACCTCCACAGCCACGAGATCTCAGGCCGACAGAGCACCTTTGGGATGTGGTGGAAGAGGAGATTCTCATCATGGATGAGCACCAACTGTGTGATGCTGTCATGTCAACATGGACCGATATTCCCGAGGAATGTTTCCAGTACCTTGTTGAATCTGTGCCATGAAGAGCTCTGAAGGAAAACGGGGCTCCAACCTGGTACTAGTGACCAATGAGTGCAGATGTTAGTGCCTTTCATTTAAAAAATATAATTTAATCTTTTTTTTCTTTTTTTATGAGACCTTTTAAATAACATGATCATACATCCAAAAGCAGGACTTGGCTTGATGGGTTAATTAATGGATTAATACATGAATTACTAAATAGTCAATGATAAGTCTCAACACTCAAAGTCAGTAAGAAATTAATGTGAAGGTGTAAAATGACAGTGTTAGTATTTGCTGCCATCTGGTGGTTAAATCTGCACCCGTCAACACTCCCAACCCCACTCCAGCACTTCACTCACCGTAACCACACGGCGAATGGATATTGCAATTTTTTTTATTGCGATACTGAGTTACCTGACAAAATACAGTCATGTGTTTTTACACTGAAAAGAAATAGTGAGCTCTCACAATGAACACATGCTTCACGCACACATACACGCACACGTACACGCACACATACGCGCACGCCACATTCGCAGAACCTTCGCGTTAAAATGAAAAAAGCATGCAATAATGTTCAAAACACATCTCGAAACTGAACCTCCTCCCCTCCCCCGACTCGGCTGATCCAAAAACTCCAGAAATGTTGGAATGTCCACATGTTTAGGTTCGATATCTACCCAACAAATTCAACTATTCAAAGTTAGTTTTAAATACACAATAATGATCATCGACAACGACACTGAGTCGAACAGTCAGTCGATAGTGATGACTTGCAGCAGGAAGTCACCAAGAGGCTGGCGACGTGCACATTTACATTCTACCAGTCGCCGCGAGGCTCCCGGTTTTATTGGTCAGACTGTCCTCTCAGTCCGCTTATAACAAAAAGAAAGAAAAACAGGCTCGGCCAACAGTAGAACTCAAAAGCGGTGAATCGAAACATGAAACGGATGCAGTTCTGAAAAGGAATAAACACTGAGAGAGATTTTAAATACATTCGCGAGTCATTCAGTAAAATCTGTTGTCCTGGTGTGTGGATGTGATGCGCTTCCGTCTTTTTTCTTCCCTCACTTGGTTTAAAAACACAGAGAGATGATGCCTTTCTATCACTTCCCTCCTACTCGCCCATTACTCCACCTGCCAAAACCATTAAATAGAATATGCAAGCTGGGAGTAGAGCTTCTTCTTCTTCTTTGCTTTCCTTTTTTTCTCTTCTGGAAGTAAAAATAAAATAGTCTTTGTGGGTGAGCCTAAAAATAAACCGCTGATTTAAAGCTTCCCTCATGATTTCTTTCAAAGCAAACAGCTGTTGTGTCACAAGATGGCCTTTCTTTTATCTTCTTTTTTCGTCCCTTTGGTATTGAGGTTTGGTCGTGGTTATCACACATCTCCCCTTTTTTTTGTCACTGGGGTGGGGGGAAGGGAGGGAGGGAGGGGGGCACAGAAAGCCTCGTACCCCCACTTTTTAACAGCATAGTTCCATCCAGCAATCAATCTGCAGACATTTACACATAAAAGGAGCAAAAAACCCCCCAAAAAAGTAATAAAATATCCAATTTTCACCCAGAACTATACAGTGGAAGGGTTACATCACCGCGGTGGACTATTTGCCTTGTTGCGGCGCGCGCTCGCAGGAAGTGATTAGTTTCCAGGCAACAGTAGTCTCACAGAATTTGTCTTTGGATTCGAGCCTCTTCACATGTTTTTTTTGTTTTGTTTTTAATGATGTAATCGCTTCGTGGTATAACTCTGGGTTCATGTTTCAAATAACAACCAAAATCCATTTATTACACATTTTCCATTGTCACAAGCAGCACACTCCTTTACACTAGCAGCCACACTGAGTGGTACATAGTACAACTTTTTGGCAACACTCCCCTACGTTGGTCCTGCTCTGTTCTGCACGTCGGTCCATTTAGGGAAGAGTTTACCATTTGTTTGTTTGTTTGTTTGTTTGTTTTAAAGCTCTGCTCCTGGTCTGGAGAAGGGCTGCAGTTTGTCACAAAAAAGTCCCGACCCACGACGAGACACAACACACCGTCGGAGAGAGAAAAGAGACAGAACAAGAGAGAGAAAGAGAGAGAGAAAGCAAGAGCCACCATCCATCTCCTCCTCCTCCTTCCTTTCCTTCCTTCCTTCCTCCTCCTTCCTCCTCTATGCCTCCCACTCACTCCTCACACACCGACTCGCTCAGGTCCACGGCGCCACCCCTGGTGAGCCGCCGCATCTTGCTGAAGTCGTGGTCGGTCCTCAGGTAGGAGAGCGAGGGGCCTCCCTCGCTGTGGCTGGCCAGGTCCTGGGGCTGGGCCTGGGGTGGCAGGGCCCTCATCTCGCCGCCGCTGCGCCAGTACAGGGTGTATTGCTGCGGGTCGGACACTCCGAAGGTGGCGGCACACAGCTGCGCCAGGGCCTGGCTCGTCTCCCCGGCTCTCCACTGCAACGTCCGCACGGCGCTCCGCTCCCCGTCCTGGAACAGTATCCGAACGCACCTCTGGAGGCAGCGAGGGAGGGAGGAAGAGAGAAAGAGAGGGAGAGAGAGAAAAGGAGTGAATATATATACTGTATTTATGCAAAACACAGGTCAAGAGGCTTATGGAGTGAGGGCAAACGAGGGGGAGGAGAGAGATGGAGTCAGAGGAGGAGTGAGGACTGTATAAGCACGGGCTGATACGCTGCCACAATAAATGAGCCAAAAAAAATAAAAAAAACAACAGAAAAAGGACGTTCATGAAAGAAAAATGCCTCTTCAACAAAGCTCCTGCTTCCCACACACAGCCGGCAGGTCCGAGAGCTTCACGCGAAAGCCATCTTCATGAAACTGCTCTGTTTTCCCCTGCTCTGCTTCATGTTACAGCTTCACTGACAAACTCCCGGCATAAATCCACTCCAGCGAGTCCACTTCCAAACTCAAATATCATCCATTAAACTCGCTCTGCTCTGGTGCTCTGCTGAAGTTCCCCCCCCTCTCCTCCACCACCGCCACCACTCAGCAGACACAAACTTTTTTCACATTTTCCACAGAGCAAAAAGCGAGCAAACCCAAAACTAACAGGTCTATTGCAACAATCGCTGCTCTTCAGGCACTTGAGCCATTATATAATGTCAGATTCGACCACCTACAGACGCCCTCACAACTCTCTGTAAAGCACACACACACACACACACTGTGAAAACATGCTGGACATAATCCTTTTTACCAAACATCCAACCTTGAGAAACCAGGGAGAATCCTCTTCCCTGTCGCTCACGGAAACACACAAACAGACAAACCATCCAGCCTGCCTCCCTCAACACACACACACACACACCACAGACGAATAAGTGGCTTTTAAAAGAAGCAGAAAAAAAGAAAGAAAAAGCACTCAATAGCAAATATAATCAACAGGTCAGCCATTATCAGAACTTACAGAGTCACTGAGCTCCTCGCTGTCCGTGTGCATATTGTGTTTGCCTGCTTCGATGGGTAGATGCAGCTCAATAAATTTCATGTTATCTGACCGCCCACTTCTTCATAGCACTTGGCTCACTGATCCCCGCCTGTGTCAGTGGAAAATCTGGCTGCCGGGTGAGTTAGATCGGCTATTTGAAGCCAGGAGAGGAACCACGTGACGAGACAGAAACGTTGTGGATGACAATGCCTGTTTTCCATGGCATCTGGTGGACCGTTACACAAACGTGGGGCCAGCAGGGTGATAATAGGAGAGTGTAGATAAAAAGTCAGCATGCGTGTGTGTTAGCGTGTGTGTGAGCGCGCATTAGTGCACAACCGGTCGTAAGCCGGCGGCCCCAGATCAGAGGATTACCTCTAAAATTGTCTAAAAACTAATCCCCCCAAATGAATTTGAAACGTGTTTGCGCTCAGAAAACCAAAAAAGGGAAATCCAGGTGTGCTCTTCCACCTCTGATTTAAAAACCGGCTTTC